AAGTGGTCCGGAATTCCTTTGCGGGAGGCATTAGTTGCTGTACCAATGTGGAAGGAATGGCCAAAGAAGAGATTAGGAGAAATCCTGGACACCATAAAACTTGCCAAAAATGTGAAAGAAACTATGATCTGGTTGAGATGTGGCTGGATTTGATGATGAGCTGAAGGTCTGAATGTAAGTTATGCTGGGATTTTCTGAGGTAGAGGTAATGGGTCAGCAATTCAAAGGGGCTTAAAGGTGAGTTTATTTTTAAGTAAAATATCAAAAAGCGGCTGCGCAATTGGTTGGTTTTGCTTTGTCTGAGGAAGAAGACGAAGCAGCTTTTGGAGACTGGGCGGCGGTAAAGATAAAGATCCGGATGGAATTTTGTCGATAAGGAGGTCAATTCTGAACAGCGTAGAAACCCGAAGAAGGCAAGCAGCAACATAGTGTGCATGCCAGTAAGTAGTCACTGTACATCAGCCGGAGCATGGAAATGCAGTGATAAAGAAGAATAAATTGCAATGGTAGCCTGACGTTGGAGACCTTTGATGAGTAGCAAGCTGAGATGGGTTTAGAGGTCAAGCAACGCCCCAAATTAGTATTTTGGCGAAAAAATGGATGCCTCCGAGGTACATCTTTATCATGGGAATTTTAATGCCCAGGAATTGGAATGCAAAAGATACAAAACTGATCTGTCTTCAGGAGGGGAAAGCTGTGCAAGAGACATCTCTGTATAGTGAAACTCGAGCAGAGTAAGCGCTTTTGCCCAAGATGGGGCCGGACCGCACATGACGATGGGCCCGGACCGCACATGACGATGGGGCCGGACCGCACATGACGATGGGGCCGTCGTGGCTGTTGATCAACCTGGATGGAGCAGGCTGGTTGAGTAGTGGAAAAATCAGCTCTGTCAGATCTATATATTTACTAGCAATGATTTGTTGGCAAAGGTAAGCGGATACTGGGAAAGGTTTTGGAGCCGGTGGGTTGGGTGGAGGAATTGCAGAGGTCAGCAAAAACTGAGCAATAATAGCTTGAAAAGAAGGGGACTGGGCTAAAAAACTTGGCCATGTGCTGCTTGGAGCTGCTCTGATGGGAAAAGGAAAAAGATCTGGGTTAGGAGAAGGTATAGTTGGATACCTGGT